ATCCCCCGGCGGGATGGCCCAGCTGGGAGATGGCCCCGCCAGATGGAGCGGTGGGGGCTGGGGAACCAGCCGGCTGGGCTCTGTCGTGGCATTTTCAAACGTAAACAGGCCCCGGCACAGGAAACCTCCACCGCTGCTGAAGGAATGGGGCTCAGGGGGCTGGAGGCGCCTCGAAGACGTCTGCAGAGCTAAAGCAGAGGGGCTCCTCTGTGGTCTCTCCTCTGCCCACTGAGATGAACAAGGAGGTCTAAGGTTCAGTCCAACAACAACCCAGCAGTAACAGGGCTCCTCACTAGCTAGGGACCCTGCAGAGCTCTTAGGGCACAGATGAAAAAAATCCACCTTCGACCTAACCTTATTTCAATCCGATAATTATCTCTGCTGGCTTTGATTAGGGTTCATGCCAATGTGAAAGCACAGCTTTTATTCCTGGGCAAATCTTGCCTCAGATATCCAGGGATGGCCCAGAGATCCTGAGCAGAAGATCCTTGAGCTAACAGCAGCCCACCGTTTTGGGGGCCCCCTTCAGAGCCAAAATATAACTTTAACAAAAGTTAAAGAGTGAGCTTGTCAGAAATGGACTTGGGAGCATCAGGTATCAAACCTACAACTCTGTAGTGGGCACAGACTGAGACTGAAGGCCTGGGAAACATGGAGGAGCTCAGACTTTGGCCCTGAACTGCTATGACCATGGGGAAGTCACTGCCCCAGTGTAAGACTCCATCTCCCCTCTGCTGTGTCTTGAGACTGTACGTGATGTGGGGCAGCGACTGCCTCGCACTGCACAGCAGGATCTTGGCCAGACACTGTGACAGCTGGAAGCAACAACAAATATTTCCTTGTAGCCTTGCTGCAAACCCAGAGGAGACATGCCAGCTTTGGCGTGCTCCTCATGGCACTGACAGTCCCTTCATGTGGAGGAGTGAGATGGAGGGAGGAAATGGCTACAATTAAGTTCCAGGAAAAAAGGACTGAGAACAGTAGGGAAGTGCAAGCAAACAGAGATTCAGTCCTGCCCTTGTGATTTCGAGTCCCTCAGGGTATTTATAGCCTGGAAATCTACTGTGGCCACTTAATCATTTGCACTTATTCTCTCCAGCGTGCAGGCTGTGCCGCGATAACCCATCATTGTTGTGCCTGCGTGCCGATAATCTTCAGCACAATGGGAGGAAACGTAAAAGCTGGGACGGAGCCGGTGCCTGTGCCCAATGGGACAGGCAGCAAATGCCTCCTCCCGCCCCGTGGGACAGGGCTGGGTCACCTCTGCCAGCCTGGCTTGAGGGAAGGAGCTCTTGGAGCAGAGGGTTCTGGGTGACTGTGTGGAAGCAATCCAGGGTCTCCAGTTCCCTGGTATCTGCCGTCCTCTGCCAACCATATTCTCTCTATTCCTTCCTTGTAGCTGCTGGAAGGCACACAGCAGCAGCAAACCCCACAGATCTCCTTAGCGTTTTGGGGGGAGCCCTGTCCTCCCAGCTGGTAGGACCTAACGGCAGCTCTGAACACAGGAAACTGGAGGGAACCATGGTCGCCCGGCCCACCAGCAGCACCCCAACTGAAACAGAGATTCACACAGTCCTACGTAGGCATCCAGGGAGACTGATCCACCTACCCAGGCCTGAAGAAATGACTCACCTGGTCAATGAACTTTGCATGGGTCTAGTCACTAATGCAGTTCTGCTAAGCCTGCAAACCCCATGCACAGCCAGAAGGGATTTGAGTAGGGAGCAAAAAAAGAAGCAGAAATAAAAGCATGGGCAGCTCCCAGTTTGGGATTTCCATTCACATAACCCTGATAGGTGCTGGCCCTACAGAAGCTCTTCTGGGTCTGATTTTCTGCTGGTCTGCACCTGGCTACTGGTCTCCCAGTGAGAGAGCAGAAGCAGATCCCCATTTTTTTTCCAGGAAGGCAAAACGTCAGTGTATTAACATGAAAACAGGATTACTACCAAGTAGCTCTCACAAACTTGGGAATGGTGCCCAGGAGGCTGAGATCTTGGAAAGATCTTAAGAACTTCCTTGGGGTACTTAACATTATTTACGTTCCAGCAGGAAACAAACAAAAAGCTCCAACAACCCAACACCAGTTTGGGAGCTGCTCAGCTACTACAACACTCTAAGTGGTGGGAGGATGGGAGGCAGATGGTGGATTGTGCACTGCACCAGGAGGGCCTAAGGAGCAGAAAGGCATCTCTGATTGCAGGCAAGGCAAGGAACTGCACAGCAGGCTGCTCTGAGCTCTGTAAGCATTGCACATTTTAACCCCTTGCTGGACATTTTCCAGGCAGGAGAGAGTGGCTTTTAAGAGACATGCAGCATGCAGTAATGCAAAGCTGATCTACTACGCCAGTGTAGGTTCAGTTTTAAAGCATGTGTGTTCTTAGACGGACTCATCCCTTGTCAGGCACGAGAAGGTTATTCTCTGGTGTTGCACATCTCAGAACAATGGATTTTGAAAACTTGACATGACACTTGACAAAGGGCACTTAATTGACTGGAACTTTTAATTATAGTGATACCAGGAACTCTGCACTCCTGAAGAGCTTCTCACCTGAGCAGCTTCAAGCTCTTTGCAAGCTATCAACCCTTGCTTTGCTCCTGGAGTGACATTTAGCACTGTTTTACACACAGCTTGCCCCATTCAGACTGACAGAAGAGTTTCAAAGAAAAACAGACAAGTTCCTGACTCCTCTTCTCTGGGCCTTCTCTTCTGATACTCTAGCTCTCCTCCATATCAAGTTCTCCTGGGTTTCTTTCACAGATTATGCCTTCCTCATAACAGGAAGGTGCTCTAAGCCACAAAAAGAAACCTCTAGATCCCCACACTGGTATGGCGGAGAGTGCTAGGGAACAGCTCTTTTGAGCCCGGGACACCAGGCAAATTCCAGCAACAGAGAGGCAAAGCAGATGTGCGCTCTGTGATGAAGCCACCCTGCCCCAACACTGCTGCGGGACATCACCAGTTCCCAGCTTCAGTTCCCCTAGTGAGTTGCACTGGCTGACTGCTTCCTTACTGCTAGTTGAGGGCTTCTTCACAAACGCATCTGCCCAGGGATGAGCTGGGGGCTAAGAGGTGACTATGGTAGAAACTGTGAACAGAGACCAGTCTCAGCTGGAAAGTGAGAAGTTGGAGATGACATCCTGGGGCCAGAGAGGAAACGAGCAGCGGTAATGAGAGAGGGGGAGGCTGCTGTCTGTGCTGTTTGTGGGGCAACGTGCTGAGAGACGGACTGACACCTGGACAGACAGAAAGGCGAAAGGGAAGTGACTTTCATTGCTGCAGTGCAGCTTCTGGCTGCTGCCCACCATACCATGGCCATGGCCCTTCCCACCACATTCTCTCCAGTTACAGGATAAAGGACCTACCTGATGACAGAAGACTCCCACTGCTGCCACTGATAATTTTGCCTTTACTCCCCATGTTGGCCAGCTTTGAGGTCTTGAGCGTTCCAGTTTCGGTCAGGTCAATCGCAATCTCACTCAGGCTTCTTGCAGCATGAATCTTGGACTGAACACAGACACACGAGTTAGTAATGATCCAGTGCTTCTTTAAAGCTCATAGAATGAAAAAGTCCTTTTGCTGTGGCAGGAAACAGGCCTCCACAGCAAACTTGGATTATTTTACAAGAATAGAAGCAATCTGGCATGGTATTCACCACGGCACTTTTTACATTCTTAAGTGGGTACAATTCTGGCACCGCTTCCTGTTCTTTGTTATTTTCCCTGCTTTGCCATGCACATTTTTCCCTCTTAGAAAAACTATGTATGGAGTCGCTGTGTTACCACATACAATAAGAAACCTTCAGAAATGCCAACATAATAAACTCCAAAGCCTAAAAGGCTAAAGACCATCTCTAGCATCTAAAGGAAGCCAGAAAGGGCCTTTCCAAATCTGCAATGAGCTTTGGACCAAGACACAGTGAGGACATGGCTTAAATGGCCTGTCATGAGAAGCCAGAAGAAAATACTGGCAGGGAAACATGTTCAGGTTATGGTCCAGAGGGACTGTGACGGACCTTTTCAAAGCATTAACACTACTCCAGTAAGAAACAACAGCCAGCCCCAGCTCAGTAACTGGCCACGCTAGGGCAAGGAGTCACCCACTGTACACCACCAAGTGTCAAAAATCTAGGCACCTCCAGGAGAAAGTAAATGTGCATGCTGTGTAAACCTATAGAACAGAACAGAGCAGAGTGTTTCAGCTGGAAGGGACCTCATCGTCTAGTTGTCCTCCTACCTTAGAAGGGAACGACTTGACTACCTAAGACATCATCCTTTCTCCATTGGCTCTGGAAGGCTTTGGGACAACAAGATGCCCAGAAAGTTCAGGTGAGAAGCCCCAGGACTTTCTCTTCTTTGAGCAGTGAACTCAGTTGTGGCTATGCCCACAAAGCCAACAAAGGCAGAAGACGTCCAGGGCAAGGGGGTTAGTGGCACTGAGCAATGAACTGAGCACGGCAGCTGCTTGCAGGACTGGGCTCACTCGGTCCTAGTGGCTGCCTTGCCCCTGCAACACAAGCCCCACTGTTAGTAGCTCACCATCTGTCTCCAGTCCATTCTCTTGCCAGCCTCCAGCAGGTGCTTAACATGAACAAGAGGATCAAGAACATCGACCAGATTTGCTGGGGATGGCCCTTCCCTTACATCCCTAGCACTACCAGGAATAAGAACCCTACATACGGATTTTTTCAGTCCTTTTTCTGACCAGTACAGCCTTAGGAACACCTTAAAATAGCAACGGCCATATCAGAAGAACCCCAAAGCCTCTCTAGTCCTCTGTCTCATTTCTGACTGGGGTCATCTCCAACCACTTCAGAAAAAAATATGAGAAAACATTTCATTAAGCTATTGTGGAATAATCTCTCCACATGGAAAATTTCCTCCTGCCTTTTCTGAACTAATGCTTATGCTCTGAGCTCTGTTTTATGTATCGGTGGTTGAATTCACTTCAGGTAACATGCCATGCTAACAAGGAGGAAACCGACAACGAGGAAGAAGATCACCATCTGTAACACGGCACACAAAGATGACTGCTATTTCATCTCCAACCTGGAAATTGGCTTCTTGCTCACTGACCCTTGTGTGAGCTCCTCAGTCACGGACGGAGGGAGCTTGGAGCTCATCCCATCGCCCAAATCTCACAAGCCCCGTGCTGCTGAGCTTCCATTAGCCCGGCCTTGCAGGGACACTGACCTGCAATTTCTATTTGCCAGAACTCCGAAAGTTGTTGGGACATTGTGCCGAGGCTCTCCAGCAACACAAAGACACTTGTTCAAGAGGATGGTGAAGCCTCAGTTCACCTGAGCATTCACCTCTGCACCTCCTCAAGGCTAGAAGAGACTCTCAGCCCTAGTCATACACTTCAGGTGATGGGCACATCATTACAGTGCTAACAAATCAGAAGCTGATTGACATCCACGTACCAGGCTGTGATCTGTTCCCACTGGAACTAACACAAGATGGGACTACAAGGAACGCTTGCCATGATGGGATTTTCAGTGTTACTTCACATTCTCAGGAAGCAGAAATCATTTTAACAAGAACTAAGGCTGAATTGATGGCTGAATGCTCACCACACTGAGCTCTGTTACTGATTTGCTGTGGGCTTTTGGGTAAGACATTTAAGGTTAAGTTCTTAGCAATCCTCTGCCTCTGATTGCACATCAGTGAAATAATAAGGGAAGTAAAATGTCTCCCTGTTGCACACTGTATTTTTAAGATTAATTTAAGATTGCAAATGAAGATAGTACTGGGAGAACCTTACACTGAAAACACCCTCAGAAGTATTATCATAATTTAATGTTCTTGGGTATTCCTAGGCTCCATCGTTACCATTCAGAGGTACCCAAATGCCTCACAAGCTTATTTCCACAACAACCCCAAGAACAGGGTGTGTGCACTCACTCACTTCAGTGCAGAGGCTGAACGACCTGCCACGACGTTAGCGCAGATCAGGCAACCAGTGCTGACCTTCTAAAACTAATGATACAATCAGTTAGACACCTCTTACTTCCAGCAGCTCCTCCCCAAAATCAGCCTCAGGAGAAGGACAGCACTCTTTTACCTTCTTGGATCTGACATTTATAGTCAGAAACAAGGGCTGTGAAATATGTTCTCCAAATAGCTCTGGAAGGTTAATTCTAGGTGAAGAGGAAAGTCACTGCTTTTATCTAATGAGATTTCCTGCTACTGGAGTCTTGATAAGGAGGCTGAGCATGAACTGGTGTCTTGCTGCAATGCCAGATCTTTGGAGGTAACGAGTCTTCAGACTGCTGCTGTCCTGGTGATTTATCCCCTGCAGGTGTATATATGTGTATGACCCTACATATATGGTTATGTACACCTTGTATCACCCCAGGAACAGCCATGTGGATCAAACCCAGTATCTGCCTAACCCCCTATACTGAGTCCTTGCAGCTGATGACTAGGAGAGGTACAAACCTCAAGCCCGCACAGACAGATCCCACCCTCCCATTCTGTGAGGCAGTGGTTTCCCTGTGTTTGTAGGGTAGTTACAGGGAGAAGCACTGTAGTTTATTTCCACTCATATTCGGACTACAAATTAGGGCTCACTCTGGCCCTACCTGTTTGACTAGGTACCAGCTAAAATGTTGAGTGAAGGCAACGCAGCTGGATGTTGCTGTGGTCCTGGCCAGCACGCCAAGACAGCAGTGGCTGGAAGTGTGCCCTACATAGGGCAAAGGAAAAAAGGACTGTGGTCCTGGCCAGCACGCCAAGACAGCGGTGGCTGGAAGTGTGCCCTACATAGGGCCAAGGAAAAAAGGATGCAAGACCAAAGCCTGGCATCCCTGGAGCCAGGAGAGAGGAAAAACCAACCAGAAGAGAGCAGATGTGGTAGCAGACACTGGGTTTGATCAGCAGGGCAGAGTGCATCCCACAGAGGGCACAATATAAACCTGCTGAAGCTACAGGAGAAGGTTTTAGACCCGACTGCAGTCGTGCTAATGGTGCCCTGCACTAAACAGTGGGGATGGAGCATCTCCTGAAAGAAATGGGGTTAATTTTCCATGCTGCTCAATCCCTGATGCCTCTGCTGCCTACAGCAATGCCAATCAGCGTCGGGTGGTCTTGTGCTTTGGACAGCCACTCATCAACAGGCGGACTACTTTTTTTTATTTCTCACAGGCCACTGAACAGCAGCCAGCGTGAGGCCTGGGCTAGACTCCGTCCTGACAGCACAATAGTGGAGAGCTAGATTACATCCCATTAGCACTCCCTTGGGCTCTGCAGTACCTCCAGGCTCAAAAATTGTAAAGCACTTAGCGCAGACCTGCCAAGTCTCATTTACATGGAGGGAGGCCGGCTCATTCATGAGTCATTTCAAAGCATGGGGCCAAACTGATCCCCAGTGCTGTTCTGACAGGGTCAGAGGGTGAAGAAAAATCCATCAGTGAAAAGCAAGAGTAGATGGACACCAGGGATGAATTTATCCCTCTTGCTTGCAGTGATGGGGCTTTGCTGCAGGTGATTTTTTAGAAACCCCTGGCCTATTTACTACCGGTTCATTCAGCCAAAAAACCTTGCGCTTGGAGGAATATGCTGTTGGAAATTCCCACAAAAGGGGACTTCTCAAGGCTTCTAGGCCAAGCACTTGATTGACTCGGTGCAGTCAACAGAGCAAAGACGTGCCTCGAAGTCCTGCTGCATCTGTCTCCTGAAAAAAAGGGAAGCTGACAGGAGTTCTGCACGCTGACATGTTCACTTGGAAAGCTGGGGATCTTTTCAGTCTCCACGTTACGCTTCAGTTGTGGGGAGAGACAGACCAGCGGGGAGCGAGACGCTGGGAACTCAGCGAGCTGGCAGGAGTTCAACACAGAGTAAGGCTGCAAAGAAGGCTGGGATCTCACTTCCTTGCAAAAGGGTCAAAATCTAGGCAAAGCTGATTTTATTTCTTTTTAAAATCAAATGAAGGGGATTTTCTAGTGGAGCTGTGCACAAGGTCCAGATCCAACTGGTGCACAGCTATGTGAGGAGTACGGAGTTCAAGCTTGCTTTATCACCATGTCATATCTCCTGCCATCTTATCTACATCACTGGAGTGAAGGCTCCGTTGCAGTGAGCTCCAGCAAGCTGCTCCTTCTAAGTCTGTTGTTATTTTTCTTTCTTTTGTCAAAATGATATGAAATGCCAAGTTCGAACATGAAAGGAGGGGATATCTAAGTTTTGCTTTGAAGTGGGGGATTCAGCTGAAGTGGGGACTGAGATTTAAGGGGATGAGAACCCATGCGGCCCGAAACTCAAATAAATGTTTGTCTAAGCCCTTGATAGCTGAAATGAAGACCTTTCACAACGCCCCACTGGAGTATGTTTTACTGGTTTTCAAAGGCAAAGCGCACATGAGTACAGTGTCCTGAAGTGACCCATCACACGAACTGATCAATTAAAATTGATGGGTCTATCAATCTGATGGTGTCACGTCAAAGACGAGCACAACAAACTAAAATACCAGCTCACCTAAGAGAAAGGGGCACAAATATTTGCACGCCCTAACTTCAAAGCCTCAGCGTGACTACTGGGGTTATTGTGACAAAGCGCACTGACAGGGTCACAGCCGTGACAGGCTGACGAACGAGGGCTGGTGGGTGGTGCTGTCTGCAGGAGTGTGAGAGAGGGGAGATCAGACTGAAACACAATCTGCCAGTGACAAAAGAAGCCACCAAAGGGAAGTCCTGGGCATCTAAGAGACCCAGTTTCTTACCAAAGAAATGCGAGGAGAAGCGAATCTCCTTTTGTTTGTTGGTTGCTTGTGACCTAAATACCTTGCAGCTAGATCAGCAAATCCACCTGGCTAAAAGTAAAGAAAATAAACTTCTGTTTATTTGCTGAGCTGTTTTTGTTGAGAGCAAAACAGAGGGGGCTATGCATTGCCCTGGTGTTGCTGAGCAGAGGAGGGGGACAGGAAACCCTTAGCTGGTATCGGGTGAGCGTGCAGTTCTGTCCGTATTCACGGCTGGCACTTGGGCAGGGGTGGGACGTGAGCTACGCCCCTTAATTCAGTACAGCCCACAGCAACTAAGATGAATCCTAGTTTTTTGCATTAGATCGGACATGGCCAAAGTGAGCGTAACCATGTGTTCTGCCCGAGGCGTTCGAAAGTCCTGCCCACTCTACAATAAAGTCACAGAGATCACGATGGGGAAAGCAGTATCAGAAGGGTTTAGAGTGAGCATCAGCACACTGATGGCCCTTTACATCATTCCAGCAAGCCAATCCAATTCATTTACCTGGCAGAAAAATAATGCAGCAAAGAAAAACAGGAAAAATAAATATTTTTCTGCCAGTTTAGTGGGCTGAACTAGCTCATGAAGGGACCTGATAGGGCCAGGGGTTGTGCAAGGGAGGGAGCAGCCCCTGCCTGAAAATGCAGGCAGTGCTTTCAGCAATAGCAAGACGTTAAGATTGTTTCAGCCATTTGGAGGACTATCTCCCTGCATATTCCTGCTATCTCACCAGATGGGGGGCAATACAGGTAGCCATATAAGCAGGTACACGCTCAATACAGACTCTGTCTTCTCCGTAAAGTTTTACACCAGCAGATGGGGGGCAATACAGGTAGCCATATAAGAAGGTACCCGCTCAATACAGACTCTGTCTTCTCCATAAAGTTTTACACCAGCGTGCTCATATGGAGAGGGATGTCTGCATGAGAAGTCTCTTCTGTCTCAAAGCGATTTCAAAGTGATCAAAGCTATCTCCTGCTGCTCTGGGTATGCCTAAAATTACTGTTAGTGAAATGAAGTAGAGGGAGAACACACACTCCTCTGGTTTCAAGGTGGTTACTTTTCTGTACTGAGTGGCCCTTTGTGCAGCACCAGATCGAGACAGTTCCGTGTAAGGCCCAGCTGCCAGCATCCTGCCCCCCTCCTTCTGAGATTCTGTGTGGAGAGAGAAGTAACATCCCTACCCCTCATTTCTAGGAAAATACGTTAGTAAAAAGCAAGGGACAGGACGAAGGATTCAGAAACAGGTGTAGAGCGTGACGCTACTTTGAATTCAGTTACTGGAAGTTGCCGTAACTTTAAGACAGAGTTCAAGAACCAGAAGATGTGGAAACAGTCCAGTTTGGGACACGACCCTATCTGCTTGCAAACTTTGGCTCCTCCAATTCGACCACAGTTGAGTATAACCTTTCCCTCAATCCCCGCTCCCATAGACATGAATTTGATACACATTCCCTCAACCTGGCCAAAGCCAGCAGATATTCTGAGTCAATTTGCCTTTTTTTGATCTCAGGTTGAAAGGGAGGGCAGGAAAGGAGCCACCATCTGGACTTGACCTTGCTGGGACTGTGGGGAGTGAGAAGGGCTCATCCACCACAACAGGCACTTTCCACCTCCAACATGCTTACCTTGCTTTGCTTTCTGTCCAGGTAGAACTGATGTTGACTAATGGCCATAGCCCAGATAGACTTTATTAGTGCTGGACAGGCGTACCACGTATGCACGGCGATGCCACTATGCCCAAAAGTCCTCCTGGTCACAGATGCCCTGGAGAGGAGAAAAGAATGAACTGGGGTCACATCAAGGTTTCCTCGGACTGTTTTCTGTGGCAGAACCTATCACAGAGCTCATAGTAAAAGCTACTGTCTTTACTGTGCACACCCTTGTGCTAATGGGAGAAAATGCTTCGAGAACAGCAATAAATAGCTAATAAAGCCAGGAGAGCATTTACTTTAGCTAACTCCTCAAGTTAGCAATCTGCAGGGGACTAACAGTAAAAGATCATCCAGTTTGTCCAGTTCTGACTGTATTCCTGGGTTTGGCTCAGCTGATGCTGACCTGCTGCGTGTCTGAGGGAAGTCACCAATGCCAAAGCATGTGTGCATCCTCTGTGTCTCATCACATGCCGACACACCTGAGGCCAAGTCCTCACATCCTCCACTACTTCTGGCTTTGGATGGTGGCTCTCAAATATTAGGACACAGGTGACAAATAACGATCCACAGGATCAATGGCTGCTTTACAGAACGTGCGAGAAACTCTTCAGGTACCTTGATTTCCCCACTTGTAAACAGATGTAGGAGGACCTGCCATGTGGCATGGGAAAGGGGAGTTGTAAGGCTCAGAGAGGGCTGCCTAGTGCCCTGGAGAGAAGAATGTTTCTCAGTGATTAGCTGAGTGAATACAAAACCAGGAAAAATAAGAACTAAATGTTTCCTCTCTGGGACTCACAATTCTCCTCAAATATTAGCAAAAAACACAGGTTAGGTTTCCCCATGCTTTCACAACTGTACAACCCTGCTTGGTTATTCCTCCCCCCTCAACTCTAATTCCACCAGCAGAGCCCCTGACACCAGCACACGCAGGCTCGTAGCGTCCTGGTCTGCAGCACTCCTCCCATTGTGGGGATAGAGCACTGACTGAAGTAAACCAAAATACCGAGCCCCAAATAAGAGGTCCTCCTCTCCAGTCTGTTGAGAGCCCTGTGGCGGAATACGACTGTGAAATGAATGTGAGCACAGGTACAGAGGCCAGCTCAGAAACGTGGCACTTTTGTTGCAGCCTTTTACACAGGCATGTGGATGGTGAAGAGGGGCCCGTGCATGAGACAGATTGGGGAACAGGGTGTGCTACAGTGGGGCTGCCACAGTCCATAGCCAGCAGGCACGCTGTGCAGTGCAGATGTGGCAGTGGCACTGCAGGCCAGCTCAGAAGCTCTGCTGTGCAGCGCCAGGGACGGCTGACTCTCTTCTCAGCACTTGCAAGCGCTCATTCTGCTAAGGCAGTGGTTGCCCTCTGGCATCCGCACTGGCCACCTATCCTCTAGTGCCCCTGGGCTACTGCCCTACCCAAAATTGGAGGTGAACGTGGGAAGGAGATGCACATGGTCAAAGTTGTGATAGAGCCAAGAATGAAAGAAAAGCAAAACTGCAGTGAAATGGGAACTGCTGGCCAGGTTCAGGCTGGGAGAGAGCTGACAGCTCTGGTGTCAGGGCCTTTTCAGTGCTGCTAAATGTCAAAATGTTTAAGTCAAATTATGCAACTACAAATTGGAGTGAAATTTCTTTGAGAAAACAGCCACGGCCAATGAAAACAAGGTCTGAGACAACTGGGATCTCGTGTTTCAGTGTTACCCTGTGCTGAGTCCTTTTCATGTGACTGGAGTCCTTCTCCCATTACGAGTATTGTTCTTGTGAGAAAACTCTCCACGGATGCAACAGGATGGTGGCTGAGGGTCCTAACGAGGATGGGTGCTGGGCTGCCTCATCCCTGTCACTGGACAGGGAGGGAAGGCTGTGCTGAGAGGTGCTCTTGAAGTTGAGGCTGGAGAGGGGATCCAACTGCGGATGCTTTGTGTGGGTTTAAGGGACACAAACCACTGCAGCATATTGGCATATAAGGCTCTCAGGCATTAAGGCACTCAAATGTAGGTTAAAGCCCCCGTTCTGGTGTCATCCTATTCAGTTCAAACACAGTTACTCATTTTGAACTCTCAGAAACATACTCTGCAAGTCACTCATCTCCTCATCTAAGAAGCAGTGATTTCCAGTTTTTTTTCTTTTTGGGACCTGTACATGTTTCCCATAAACTGCAAACCCTGTCAGAAAGTCTGCAGATGTAGCTGGTCAGACCTGTGGACTTGCTTTTCACAGCTGTCTTGTGGGGACCTGTGAGAGATGGCCCACGGGTGTTTTTTCCATGACTCCCCTCCACGCGTGCCACATGCGCTAGGGAATGAACCCTGTTGATACCCCCCAAAATGTATCGTTTCCCTCCTTTACAGGGTAAGTCACCGCGATGAAGAGAGGTTAAATGGCTTGCTCAGGACAGGAAGCCACGGCAGAGGCAGGGCTTCAAAACATACACTGTGCTGCCCAGCCCTGGCCACAACTGCCTGGCCATGCTTGCTCTCCTGTGAGTGTGGCTTCGCTGACTCAGGCTCTGGTTTGGCTACATGGAGAGGAATGCGGAGAGAGCATGGTGTTGGCTACTCCTCTGCCTCCACATGCCGAACAACTCCTCGCAGGAGTCCATCCCTCTTGGCCGGGAGACTACAACCCGAGCTGCGCTCCCACCATGCCACTGCAGCGTGCCTTGCGGCTCTACAGCCAGCGAACCATTTTGACCTGGACAGTGGTACTCTCTGGATATGAAAATCAACCAGCTGAATTTCCTTGTAGTGAGAAAGTACCAGGCTGACAACCTGGGACAGGGTTTTGTCCTTCTGGTGTTGATTCAGAGAAATAGCGTAATGGAATAAAAAAAACGGAAGCTCTTCTGTGTCAGTAACTCCTATCATCTAAGCACAAACGAGCCAGAAGAGGTTCCTCTGTTCAGTCACATTTCACGCGTGACACTGAGCTACAAACAGCATCACGATTTTAACGTCCCAGAGCAGTTTGCTTTCTTTTCCTTCCAATCGCTGCTTGCAGGAAACGGCCAGCCTGGGCGCTCGGGGCTTCTCGCTGCTGGTCGCTTGCGGCACGCGTTTCTGACTCCTCGCCCACTGCTGGAGGCTCGGTGGGGGAACGAGCACACTACCCCCAGCTCCCAGCGTATTCTCAACTTTGGGAATTTGCTCTGCTAGATTTCATGTGACTATTTACATGCTTAATATTAAGCAGATGCTTCAAGGCTCAGCTAACCTGGAGCTGCACAACGGTATGAGCTGCTCTACTGTTTTTGTAGCGCCTGTGGTGACCAGCAGCCTTGTATTGGTATTGGTGTGACCATGTTCACATCAGGGCACATACACACAGAAACTGCATGCAAAATTCCCTTAAGTACATATATTAGACACAGACAGGCATGGGAAACAGGTGAAACAGGATCACAGCTGAGCGATCAGCAAAACACGCTACTACCAGCAGCACATCAAATCGGTCCGGGAAGAGAGCTGGTTTCCATCGGCCGTCGTTGTCCTTACTTTGCAGCAGGACTTTGCCTTTAGTGAGAACAACTGGCAGAGCGATTTACGCACTGCTCACTGCCTGCAGTAACCGTCCACGAACGCAAACGATCAAGGGGTGCAGAATGCACTGATTTGATGCAGCCCAGCCACCTGAACTCACTCTCTCCCACGTTCAGTCTCCAAAGTAAGAAAAAAAGACTCCCGTGCCAAAAAGACTGACGGGCTTTCATCCAGACTGCCGGTAAACCTCTGGTGCCGCGCCATTCCCTTCAGCTGCGCTACTGAATATTTATTTACGAGGAAGCATGCGAGTACAAAATCTGGCGCCCATCTCCCGGCTCCAAGCGCAACGCGGGGAGAAGGGAGCTTTATCCATCCCACAGCTTTATCCATCCCAGGGCCCATCCCAGCTTTGTCCATCCCAGGATCCATCCCAGCTTTGTCTATCCCAGCTTTATCCATCCCACAGCTTTATCCATCCCAGGGTCCATCCCAGCTTTGTCCATCCCAGGATCCATATCAGCTTTATCCATCCCACAGCTTTATCCATCCCAGGGTCCATCCCAGCTTTGTCCATCCCAGGATCCATCCCAGCTTTATCCATCCCACAGCTTTATCCATCCCAGGGTCCATCCCAGCTTTGTCCATCCCAGGATCCATCCCAGCTTTATCCATCCCATAGCTTTATCCATTCCAGGGTCCATCCCAGCTTTGTCCATCCCAGGATCCATCCCAGCTTTATCCATCCCACAGCTTTATCCATCCCAGGGCCCATCCCAGCTTTGTCCATCCCAGGATCCATCCCAGCTTTATCCATCCCATAGCTTTATCCATTCCAGGGTCCATCCCAGCTTTGTCCATCCCAGGATCCATATGAGCTTTATCCATCCCACAGCTTTATCCATCCCAGGGCCCATCCCAGCTTTGTCCATCCCAGGATCCATCCCAGCTTTGTCTATCCCAGCTTTATCCATCCCACAGCTTTATCCATCCCAGGGTCCATCCCAGCTTTGTCCATCCCAGGATCCATATCAGCTTTATCCATCCCACAGCTTTATCCATCCCAGGGTCCATCCCAGCTTTGTCCATCCCAGGATCCATCCCAGCTTTATCCATCCCACAGCTTTATCCATCCCAGGGTCCATCCCAGCTTTGTCCATCCCAGGATCCATCCCAGCTTTATCCATCCCATAGCTTTATCCATTCCAGGGTCCATCCCAGCTTTGTCCATCCCAGGATCCATCCCAGCTTTATCCATCCCACAGCTTTATCCATCCCAGGGCCCATCCCAGCTTTGTCCATCCCAGGATCCATCCCAGCTTTATCCATCCCATAGCTTTATCCATTCCAGGGTCCATCCCAGCTTTGTCCATCCCAGGATTCATCCCAGCTTTATCCATCTCAGGATCTGTCCCAGCTTTATCCATCCCAGGATCCATCCCAGCTTTATCCATCCCACAGCTTTATCCATCCCAGCTTTATCCATCCCAGGATCCATCCCAGCTTTGTCCATCCCAGCTTTGTCCATCCCAGGTGCCATCGGGCTCGTGTTGGCAGTACCCAGCGCTCCAGCGTGCTCCCAGCAGCGCGAAACGCAGCGAGAAGCCGTATTCCTGCCTCCATTTTACAGGCTGCC